AACAACAAAAGAATGCACAAGATAAAACAGATAAACAAATATTCAATCAATTCTCTTGAAGGCACTTAGTAGTGCGGCGGATGAACCCGACGTCGCCTCCGACTGTGAACTCTGGATCCTGGAACTCCGGGTTCTTGCGCATGATCAACCATTCGTCTGGGCGGGAAGATGCTTTATGGTGGTATTTCCACACTGCGATGTTTTCCTCATCATGGATGTTGCACCAGCCGTTCACCAAAGGCGCCATCCATGCACGGTCCATTGTAGGTGATTTGGGCACCAAAAGATGGATGATAAATTTGGAAATTGCTCCCTTGTGCCAAAACCAAGCTGGTGCAAAGAACTGACAGTTGGCAGACAGCACAAATAGACCTATGTATTATGATGTATTATGATGTACATATGTGATCATATATGTACATTGATGTACTACCTATGTTTATAAAATGCATGATGGTAAGTCATGTGCAGGGAAAAGACAATCAGAACCCTGAAGTGCCTCATCTCATAGAAGCACACCCAAAATTGAATCAGTCCCCACATGTCCCCACAACATCCCACAACATCCCACAACCATGACTGCGGATCACTGCGGTGATTTTCCTGGTCGTTCTTCTGCAACAGCAACTGGCGCTGCGGTTGGCTTGGCTCCTGGAAGGAAAAGCACGGGTGTGATATGGTGTGATGAGGTGTATATGTTTATAAAATGCTTTATCCTGAAGTGCATCATTTCATAAATACCCACCATAACGGACTGCCCCTTTGGACTCCTATTTGCATATAATTGCACATAAGAATAAGATAGAATAAGAGGTCAATAGAGGTCAACTGATGTCAAAAGATGTCAAAGAATGTCAAAAAAATCAACAAATGTCAAAAGATGTCAAAAGAAGTCATTTGTTCTATTGCATTACAGTAATTATTTCTTAACATATTAACATGAGATCATATGAAGGCCACAGCACAGCGGACTGCAATGACTTGCCTGATCCTTCGTCTGCGTTTGACACTGCAGATGGCTCAGCTCCTGGAAAACCACAGTATGCATGTTTATAAAATGCTTGATGCTAAGTCATTTGCAAGAAAAACAATCAACATCCAAAATCCTGAAATGCCTCATCTCATAAAAGCAATCACACAATTGAATCAGTCAGTCGTCCCCACAATCACATACAATCAATCAAAAACATCAAAAAAAACATCCAAAAACAATCAAACACATTCAACAATATTCAATTGCATTCAAAAGATTTCAAAAGCATAGTCAAATGATGTCAAATGATGTTAAATTATGTTAAATGATATCAAATGCGGATGACTGTGGTGATATGCAGTGACTGTCCTGCTCGTTCTTCTGCAAGGGCAACTGGCGCTGCAGTTGGCTTGGCTCCTGGAAGAAAAAGCATGGAAAAGCATGGAAAAGCAAGGGTGTGATGAGGTGTGTATGTTTATAAAATGCTTCACCATGAAATGTATCATTTTATAAAAACCCACCACAAAAGACTTCTCGTTTGGACTCCTATTTGTACATAAGAGTCGCAAGAAGCAAAGGTTTAAAATGTTTTCACATGTTTTCACAACATGTGTCCAGTGTCCTTGCAAATGTTGCAATAGTCCCAATGGGTTTGAAGCCATGGGCCATGGCATGAAGTGAGTGTGAAGACCTCAAGTCTGAGTGACTTGCCTGCTCCTTCGTTTGCGAGTGGCATTGTAGGTGGCTCAGCTCCTGGAAAACAACAATATTCATGTTTATAAAATGCTCGATGCTAAGTCATGCGCAAAGAGAAACAATCAAACACCTGACGCGCCTCATTTCATAAAGCAAACTCTTAGGACTCCATAGGATTCCAGTATGAATATACAAGAAGACTGACATCAATGATATAATGATATCTACAGTAATGATCAGTAATGAATGTCTATGATATTAGTTGATATTCATTGAGATTATATATAAGCATCTATGAACAATCTGAATATGTATCGGGATGTATCGGGCATTCCGGGATGTGCATTGCCCTGCCCTTTTCCACAAGCGAAGTGCTTGGTGCCTGAGACTGTATTATGTGGGCTGCGCCGGCTGTGCATGGCTGCCCTGTGTTTCTACAAGCCTCGTTGAACAATGTTGAACAATAAAATTGAAACTAACACCCTGTCACGTATTGTCACGTGTCATGTGAGACATGAGCCCCTGCCAATTGACCAAGGCCGACAGAAAACCACATTGTGGCCAGTGTTTGCGACTGGCAGAAATCTACACATCTCCACACGTGATCTCAGCAGAGCTCAGCAGCTGCTTATGCAATGGCTTCAGGCTCCACAGGACGCTTCCTCTTCATGGAGGATGGTCGGGCCTCCTCCTGCGGCTCTGGTGGCATGACCATCGCAATGGTGAGTGACCTGCATGAAAACATTGCATAGCCATCCAGCTCCCAATGCTTGTAGCCCTCCTCGATCTCTTGCCTAGTGCACAACCCCGTGAACCTGACCCAGCACATTGCCGAATCCAGCAGGGCTCCTAGCTTGGTCCTCCCTTGCCACTCAACACCCTTTTCAGTTGACAGAATCACCGTGCACCCATTGGGCTGGTTCAGCAGCAATTGAAAATTCAAGAAGCAATTCCCTGTAGGTGACATAGAGGGCTTGTTGAACGAAGCATTCACCTGAATCGAGCGGATGTTCTTCACAACTGCATATTCGTCAACATGCGCGTGCTTGAAGTACAAGATGTTGAAGCAAGCCTCCTCCCTCAGAAATGACGGAAGGTATCAAAAGCCAGGACAAACATTGATATACAGTGTATATATATTTATAATGTGCCTAGCCTCTACAGTACATTACATCCCCCTACCACAGTTCCTGGTCTTCCCATTTCATAAATACTGATACTTTCAGTTTCAACAGGCCCACAAAAGAATACAACAGAATCATACATTGCTGATGAGATTCTGACGGTGAACCCAGAAATACTTGCAATTCTGGTAAAGCTGCCGCATGAAAATAGCCGGGTAGGTTTGAGGCCGCCTTTCTGGCCCTGCATCCAGGTTCGAGTCAGCCCATACAAAGCGAAACCTCTCGTTCTGAGTCTTGTTGCAAACGAACCACTCCGTTCCAGAGAAGCTCATCGTGTCCACCTGGGTCAAAGCTCCGTAAGTAGATTCTGCGCCCACAAAGGTGAACTCATAGCGATCTTCTACAGGGGGAGGAGCATGATTCACATTGTCTCGCTGCCTTGCAGAAGGTGGCGGAAAGGCTGGGGGTCTAGGCACATCATCTTCTGCTCTGGCATCTGCAGGAGGTGGCGGACCGGCTGGGGGTCTGGGCACATCATCTTCTGCCCTGGCATCTTCCATTGGTGGCGCAAAGGCTGACATCAGGATACACAGGAATTCCGAACTACAACCACAAAATCTAGATCTGGCCTCAGCTGCTAGATTGCCTGAAAGACTGATCCGTCAAAGGTACGGCATGTATGTTTATAAAATGCTTGCTGGCAAGTCAACTGCAGGAAATTGTGCACTCAAATCCATGCAGTGCATTTAATAAACAACACATGAACAGATACATGGTGAATCAAGGTGACACAAGATTATAAAGGATATCAAAGGATTACAAATGATTACAGTATATTACATCAGATTATATCAGTATATATCAGTATATTTATGTGTATGTCTGTGTTTAGTATTGTTTCATGTATTGTTTCATTGTGTTTCCATGCCCACAGTTCACCGTTCCCCGCAAGTTTCCCATGCTTTTCCGGTCTCCTGCTGGTTCTTGTGCAAGTTCTGCAAGCGCCGGTGTGGATGGCTTAGCTCCTGGAAAACCATGGAAAATCAATGAAAACCAGAGGTGTGATGGGGTGCATGTGTTTATAAAATGATTGGTGGTAAGTCGCTTGCAGGAGACAGCCAATCGAACTGAAGTGTCTCATTTCATAACATATTAGAACATTCCGCAACTACAGTAATTGAACAAGGTGGAACAAGTGCTGTCAAGTGATGTCAAGTGTTCACATGTGTTCGCCCATCTCTCATGAGACCCACCTGCCTGAAGTAGGAACCTGTTCACGGACATTTTCAGTGTCAAGCTTGGTGTGCTCGACCACTTGGCCTCCACCCCATGAGGTCAGCATCCGTGAGAAAAAAAGATTTATATATGGAGCAACAACTATGAAAGTAGGGTGTGCCAGCAGCCATCAACAGCCAACAGCCCACCAGTAACGACTAGTAGCATCCAGTAACCCAGTAACCACATCTCGTATCATCTCGTGTCCACATATGTCCACATGTAATTTGCCTGCTCGTTCTTCTGCGTCTCCGGCTAGTGGTGCAAATGATGGCTCATCTCCTGGATGTGGGTGACACACAATGAGGTACAATATGATTAGGACATGCCCCCATTCCTGAGTCACTGGGTAGTATAAGTGATCCGGAGTAGTATATTATATATTTGAATGTCTAGATACATAATGATACATATATGTACTGTACACATGTCTATAGAATGCTTGGTGGTAAGTTGCTTGCAGGAGAAAGCCAGTCAGACTGAAGTGTACCATTTCATAAACGATAAACACACATCAAAAACAGCAAAAACTATAAACCACTCAATTCTCGTCATTGTATGTCATTGTATGTCACTGGTTTTCCTCAGCACTTGAGTGCCTTGCGTCATCTCGCGTCGCATTGCCTAATTCCATCTCATTGCAGTTTCGCAATCATGAATAGGCTAGGCAGATTCCCAAAACTATTATACAAATGTCATCAAATTCCAAGCCTCCAGGGCCGCATTGCTTTTGCAATGAAAAGAAAGCACATCAGCAATTCCAAGCAGGGCCAACGCTGCAATCATGATGTCGCGGTCCACGTGATTTTGTTTGATTTCGTGGTCCTGGTGATTTTGTTGAATCCACCTCTTCGTGGTCCTGGTGATTTTGATTCATGTCCCTCTGCCTTCAATGGAATCTTCCCATCATTCACCTCGTCATCAACCGAACTGTCAAGCCCGAGCCATTGTACAGGAGGGGGAGGGTTTGTAGGCAATGCAATCTGGCCACCATGCGGCACCACCTTTGGCAACAGCCAACTCTCCAAGATTGGTGTAACAAGAGACAAAATGCGGAATTGTCGATTGCCTGAGGAGTTGGTAACTATCGAGATGAACTTGCCAGCAGTGTATGGAGTGAAGTCCAAATTGAACCGCTGGGTCTTGAGGCCAGAGCAAGGAGCAAAGTTCCGAAGAGCTATGAAGTCGCTCTTCATGAAGAACTGGCCTTGACAGCCAAATGCTCGATGATGGCTCCTGATGGAACACAACTCGTCCAGCTACAAGAAAAATATGTAAAACTACAGTATACTCTCAGTACACCACAAGAAACAACAAAAGATCAAAAAGGTTAAACCAATTCTCTTGAAGGCACTTAGTGCGCCGAAAGAACCCAACGTCACCGCAGACTGTGAACTCTGGATGCTGGATCTCTGAGTCCTTCCGCATGACCAACCATTCATCTGTGCGGAGGGTCCCTCTCTGAAAGTATGACCACACCACACACTGATCCTCGTCTTCAATACTGCACCAGCCATTCATCAAAGGCTCCATCCATGAACAGTCCATATTTGGTGGGCCACTCCAGCACCACAAGATGGATGATAAATTTGGAAATTGCTCACTTGTGCCAAAAGAGGCTGGTGCATGCTGGTGCAATCACTTGACAAACAGGAAAAGAAGATAGGTATGTATATTTATAAAATGCATGAAGATACGTAACATACCAGAAAAAAACAATCGGATCCCTGACGTCTCATTTTAGAAACAACCAACATAGGACCCCTACAAAGGATCTACTGTATCAGACCCCACAACCGCCCCACAGAGGCGACTTTCCTGGTCGTTCTTCTGCATCGGCAACTGGCGGTGTGAATGGCCCAGCTCCTGGAAAATGAAAGGTGTGATGAGGTGTGTACTTTTATAAAATGCATCACCTGAAGTGAACCATTTCATAAAGAGCACCTAACCTACAATATATGATCCTATATATATATATATGAATGTATATGAGGCTCATTTTGATCTCCATGTATACACTTGAAGTCAAAAGATGTCATGAGATGCCATGAGAAAACATATGAAAACAATAGAATCCATTAGAATCCAACTCTATGCAACACAGCTGAAGTAGTTCCAATCACATCCAATCGCCACATGTTCACTTGCCCGCTCCTGAATCTGTGGCCGCCACTGAAGACGTTTGATCTCCTGGACGAGCAATGTATGATCAGGTACAGTATGTCATTTCATAAAAGCCGCCTACGCCGCCTACCATGCAAAACCGTGCAAACCAATATCATATATGTTTATAAAATGAATGATGGCATGTCACTTGCAGGCAAATGTCAATCATAACCCTGAAGTACCTCATTTCAAACAGTTCTTCAGAACTAAGTTGCATATATAATCATATATATATATATATGCATATACTTGCCATGTTCATCCATGTTCATCCTACTTTACCCACCACATCCCACCACCCAGTCCTCCCCCCAAAAGAAAAACGAACCCTTCACTCAACCCTCCATCAACCCTCCAATCCCTCCGGACGGACTCGACCAGATCCCACAACGAGTTCGTCAGTTAAAAGTGATTACAAGTCAGTCTATATAGGTTACAGTAATAGTGACTACTGTAATAGATACTAATAGTATCATATAGTATCTAACAAATTCAAATAGTGATCCTGCAATGGGTTGCTATGGCAATTCTCTCCCACATTTTCCCTCCGCCCAGGAACTGCCAGTGCCCGTGTCAAATGGCACCTGGTCTCTGAACACACAGCCACTTTATCATGGCCTCAAATTGTGGTAGCGCTGCCTGTACATCATCAGAATCGATCTCCGATAAGCATTGATTCTTGTTGGGAGATGTTCGGAGTGCTCTTGAAGAGCCACAAACTGACTGGATCGAAAATCTATCCGAAACCTCACCTCTCTGAAGTTGAGGTTATCTTTCAATATTCTTGCCCTATCTTTGCATGACATGCCATGTGCCATCTTGAAGAGCGGCAACCAACGAACATGTCGGAAAACAACTTCCGAAATCCGACACAGCCCTTTGTGTTTTATAAAATGAGTTTCCATCTTCACCATGGTTCCATTCTCACACCATTACTTGTTTACAAAATGATCAACCAACATCCAGCTGTCTCTATGTTAAACCTCTCACAGACCGGGCCTTCTATAAAATGCACGTCCACAGACTTGCTTCTTGATTTCTGTGTTTCGTGCCTTTTGGAACATGCTTGGTGTTTTATGAAGAGAGTTGAGAACATTTGAAAACCTTTGAACACATTGGAAAACCAACTCTGTGCAACACATTGGAGAAACAAAATAAACATACGTAATGAAAATACAGATATATACATGTTCCAATCGCATCCAACCGCAAAGACATCCATATGTCAGTGCCCCTGCGGATGGCTCAGCTGCTGGAGACCAGAAGTGTGATGAGGTATGTATGTTTATAAAATGCATGATGGTAAGTCACCTGCAGGGAAAGGCATTCATATCTGGCCAGTTTGTCATGGCCTCGAATTTATGTCCGTGCGTGTCTGTGCTGCCACTGTACATCAAATATCATCAAATCAAATCAGCGACAATGGCCGCCTGAACCTTTCTGGGAAGTCCTGCTTTAGGCCTTCAACCAGCACTTGAACACAGCCCGTGCAAATCTTTTGGGATAGATTGCTGTGCTTGCTAAGTCTTTGCCACCGTGAAACTTCTTGTCAGGTGTGCGTACCCAAAAGACTTTCTTGGGCTTTCCTGCAGCGACTCTCTTCCTGTTCATTGCTTCGACACGTTGTGCAACCTTCTCCTTCAGCTTCTTGGTGCATTTCCGAACCATGGCCTTCAAAGAAAAGTTGCTCATCAGGTGAGTTCCTTTGAGCAACAGCCCTCCCCAACTACCCATGTAGGTGAGATACTTCTCCATGTTGAGTCGCCAAATGACCTCCAAGCATCTCACCTGCCTGAATAGCCAAGAACTCTTGGGCTGTTCCATGACCACAAGGGCCTTTGGGCGATAGTAGGCCATCAGAAGCAAAAACGTGACCATGTTGGCCAGAATCAGATTGCTCAGTCTCACACAATGAAGACCAATGTCCCCCTCCAAGTTGTCTGCCTCAGTACAACGTAAAAAGACACAAGGATTGTTTATGAAATGTATGGTCACTGTCTTGCAAACAATACCAATCAAATCCAATCAGAAACATGAACTGGCCCATTCCATAAACCCCACTATACATGTCAAGCAACACTGCGTTTGTGTGTGGCCACTGATATGCCCACGAAAAGGCTGCATGGTGGGGCCAGAAACATCAGGCCACCATCCAATGTCCTGAGTTGCAATCATTGGCCCCATACCTCCATGCCTGCTATATACCTCTCTGGCTATGTGATTGGACACAAATGGATATAGCATGTCAGCAAAACTTTGATCAAATCAGTCACCCAAGATTCTGCAGCCCCATCTCAAGGAGGCGACCAAACCCAGCTCGTGTAGTCACATCAAACTTGGAATCAGTTTTGATGTCATGAGCTGTAGCTTTATATCCCTTCTTGATGAATGTCTGGCAAATGCGCTGCGAATGGGAAAAAATGTCAATGCAATGCCACTTTCGGGATCCATCTTGTTGGTCATACTTTTGGCAAGCATTGCTCAGAAATCCCCAATCTGCGGCTGCAAAATACCAATCTCCCTCGGCTGCAGAAGTTGATGCGTCTTGCCCTGGACTGGCACAGACCTCTGATGTCTACAGTCAGCCGGCGAAGCAAAACTCTATCATTTTTGCATCCTTTTAGATCTTTTCAATTTCCAACTATTCGTTTACATATATTGTTTTTTATGAAATGACTCAAGTCGAGGTAATTGTATTTGCAACTATTCAGAATTTGATATCCCATTTTATAACAATGATATCCCCATTTTATAAATCAGTCAGGCGAGGCACGGTGCTGCAGAACAGCCACAAAGTGCAAGCAGCAATTTGCCACAAAGCCATGATGTTACAAAAGGCAGGGCGAGGATCAAATGGGCCGAATCTTGAAATACAAAGCGGCGAAAGGACGCTTAACTCATTCCCCGAAACATGCCCTGACTCCATCCACCATCCACCCCTGTCCATCCCTCTCCTGTCAGTGCGGCCAACATCTCCTTCTTGATGGTCTTTGTCTCCTTCTTCACCTGTGCAGAAAGTCTTCAGGATGATTCCGATTTTCTAGATGGATAGATGCATCAACACTTTCAATTTATTTCAAAGTCTTTAAGATATTTAAATATATTTAAATAGATTTTAATATCAGATTCTTAAAGAACATTGGAGCCTCTCCCATCCTCTCCCAACATGTCTAATCCCAAAAAAATATCCTGCCTGGATGCGTCCAAGTGTTTTCGATAACCGTGTTGTCCAGGACCACATCTGCCTGAGATTCAGGTGTGTTTGACAAGGAATGTCCATTTATAAAATGACATTGAGAATAAAACTCATACTTGCAAACTATTTGGACATGACAAACCCACTTTATAAATCTATTCTTATCCATTCATATCCATTTCATAAATCATTTTCATTTCATTTCAGGTCATGTCTAGATATTCCATGATATTCCATGATATAGAAGGACTATGAAGGAATAATCTAGCCTCTAGCCATCCTCCTGAACCGTTTCAAACATTTATCCAAGTGGCATTTCTGTATCAAAGTAGCACTCGTGGTTGGACTTCTGTCCACCGGCTCTTGGCTGGCTGCACCGAGAACCTGGGAACACCATGGAACACCTACAGTACCAACTCAAAAACTATCCAAACTATTCCAAACCATCCAGAACCTTTTCAACAACAACATATCAAAAGTTTCAACCTATCAAAAAAATATAAAAAAATCAAAGACATTCAAAGACCACTTCAACAAAGTCCCTTTAAAAAAATCATTACAAATCAATCCAAAGAACGCCAAACTGTCCGATTCTCGTCCCACATCATTTCTTCAAGTTCTGCCGTGCAAGTACCGACCCCACAGTACTTTGGCAGTGGCTCACTGGGCTTTGCGGGCTTTGGCGTTGACATGAGCACTGGCGCTGGAGTCAATTCCGGCATAGCGGAATTTCGAAGAGTTGTGTAGACACAGTTGTATGTATGGATTTGTATGGGTATGTATGGAATTATATGAACATGTCTGGACATGTCTGGACTAGTGTGGAAATATGTGTGCAGGATTGTATGGACTAGTGTAGGCCTGTGTAGACTAGTATCCGAATCCCCCCCTCTCTGAAGTTGAGGCTATCTTTCAATATTCTTGCCCTATCTTTGCATGACATGCCATGTGCCATCTTGAAGAGCGGCAACCAACGAACATGTCCGAAAACAACTTCCGAAATCCGACACAGCCCTATGTGTTTTATGAAATGAGTATCCATATACAACATGGTTCTATTCTCTCACACCATTACTTGTTTATAGAATGAGTAACCATGTTCAAGCTGTCTCTATGTTAAAAAAAAAATCCCTGTTTATAAAATGTTCACAGGATCCGAACCAACCTTTTTATGACATGAGGGCCAGGATTTTAGAGGCTGTTTTTTTGAAATTCCGATTTCCGGCAACATTGTGATCGTTATGAAATGACCCCAAAAAAAGTCATTTTATAGGTTACAAGGATCCCCATTTCATAAGGAC